TCCTCCTTTTCTTCAGCTCCCAACACTATTGGTTTCTCAGGTTCATCTTTCTTTTCTGGAGGTACATCATAACTATATCCAATTGTGTTTGTAAATTTTCGTTTCTGTTCTTCATCTAAAATATTATCATGTGTTTAACAGAATCATTCAACATTGGAAAATTGAACTCCAAGCAGTATAATGTTACAAATAAGGTTATCAATTGATAGCTAGGTAATAAACAGGCAATGTTAGACTGATTGAGTAATAAGATGAGTCTAGTAACAAGACATAATTTCCATCCATGATAGAATTTTTGAATCTCAAAACCTTTCCCTCAAAAAATAAGCTTGAGGTATAACATTGATTTGGGGTTAGCATATTACATCAAGTTATTGTTTATTTGAAATCTGGAATTAAACAAGTCAGCTTGGTGGTATTCAGTACAGCTGGGGTTATGGGTAGTACCCACAGAACAAGGCCAGGGGGGGCAGATACATAATCATAACTTACACAAACTTGTCCCTAGAGCCTTCAGCTGGCGAAGGCATCAGGAGGGGCCACAAAGCAAGAAAATGTAATATCACCAACAATCTGGCACCCTTTCCAAAGATTGGAAAGGGGTCCATTATAGAACATATTTTACTGTTCGAGTTGCAACCACTATCAACATTTAGCCTTAGATTAACATTCTTTGCCTGGGGTACTTCCATCTGTAGCTCTGCCGCTTGAACTCATACCTTACATAACCTATATGGAAAACTTTGATTATTTTCATTTCTGTTTACCTTTATACATCTGCTCCTCCTCTTCATTTATCTCCAGCGCATAGTATCTTTCTTTGTCACAAAGTTCTTCCAGTTGTCGCTCCTTATCACTGAGCCCCAACCATCTTGTGGCATCATATCCTTCTCTGCTCGCCTCATACTTCTTTATATCGGACAGATGGCCTCGGCAATCATATCTGTAATAAGATATATTAAAAGGTACTGGAAGTATAACCAAAATATAACTAACCTATCTATCTTCAGGCTTGGATCTCCCATCCATGGTATGAGATGTTTACCCTGGTCGATGTATAAGGCTTTTTCGTCATCCCTAAATAATTTGCAGGCATATCCGAACACCAGCAGCTCTTCATGATTTTCTACTGGCACAGATTTTCTCAATATTCCACTTTCATTGCCATTCCATTGTGCCATTTTTGTATTTTTCTTATGATTATAATTATTTTCCACAGCACAGAACAAACAGAAACAGAACATATACACACAAGCACAAAACGCTAGAGGTGTTGAAAAAGTTACTCAAGTACTCGTTACTCATGGATACCCGAAGTAACAAGTATCAATCCGAGCACGAAATGATTACCTACTTTGATTACCCTGTTATCCGTACCCCGGTTCACGTACAATCGTTGATCGTTGACGGTTGTCGTTTGTCGTTGAGTTGCAACGCTGGTTTCGGTCATCTTAGGCATCACTGTAGCACTGCCGCAAGCATAAGGATTTCCAGACTTCCCACGTTCGGGTGGAAACCTGGAAACTCCAGATTTAAAAACAATTATCAAATTCTATGTCAGCCTGTCAAAAAAAAATTAAGTGTACCTATTACCAAACGTGGCTCAAATTCGCTAGGATTGTGATGATGGCAACCTGAAAAGGGATACGGAGTCGACTGGATTGGAGCAAAATTCGGCAGTATTATGAGCCAGCGACAGTTCAAGAACTCCATAATAATGAAAATTATGTCAATTTGTGCTGTTTACTTGTCCCACATTTTGCCAGAAATCTATAACTCAGTATGACCAAAAAAAAGTACGTGTAGACTAAACTCCACGTAGAATTTTTTATACTGGTACATGCATAATTGAAATGCTTCGAAAAATTATTTACCATTCCAAAGTTTCTTAAGCCCATATACATCATCTTTCTACATATACAAGTGTAGATTTGTGTGCTAATAATATAAGTTGATGATAATTCCATTGGATTCTTGTCTCAAATACACTTAATTGAGATTCAAAGCTAGAAATTAGTTGCGCATCCATTTTTCTTACCCATTCTAGAAGTTACATATGCAAACTTGCTGAATTTGAAAAATGAGAGAGGTAAGAAATAATTATATTCACTGTACACTGTCGAATTACAAGTCATATACATGCTAACAGTAATTAGACACAACGTGGGCGCGGTGGTGATATCCCGTAATTCTGCTCAAAGTTTTTGAAAACACAAAAAAACGTAAAAAATCGTAATTTATAATTTTGAACATAACCTGTTTTCAGAACATATAAATAACCCGTCGGGCAGGGCTAATAAATATACTTCATTGGCAGTATATTCAGTAATGATTTTCTCACACAGCAAATATCACTGATTTTATACACATGCAGATCTAGACAATCATCCAAATGCGATCTTGCTATTCAACCAACTTTCTTCTCAGAGATGAAAACTATAGACTACTCGGCTTCACAAAACATATGCAACCAACAATGCGGGTAGTTCAGTCATTCCTTCATAGATGGACGCTCACAACGACCCTGGTGAGCAAACGTGGTATGACTACTTGCACCTTAAAAACTACCTAGTCTGCAAGATGACATTAATCAAAACCAAGAGACTAACCAAAATGTCTGTGTTACTTACCATGTTATAATGTGGCTTAAGATGACCCACGAGTTGATGACGTCAGTTACTCGAGTCGCTTGAACGCGTTGATTTTAACCACGGTTTTTTGCAAATTGTTTATTTTGGAAAAGTGCGCCTATATAATTTCTGATTATTTTTATTATTACTTAACAATCGGTGCTTTTTCGTCTACAACAGTGATATCGAAAATTTAAAAAAGGAAAGTTTCATAATATTAATGGGATAAATGTTTTTTTTTCAGAAGATATTGTTCAGGTGTTAAATCACTTAAGAAAACATCTGTTATTTATAAACAAGTTTGTCGTATAAATAAAAAAAGACGCCAAAAATTCTAGTGGTGGAACCATGGCTTTGTAGCTCTGATAACTTTCAATTCTTTAAACTTTTCCGCATGTCAAAGAAAACATTTATTGATTTTGCAGAAATGATAGTAAAAAGCGACGAAATAAAGATATTAGCAAAACCGTATATAGGTGGACACTATCCAATATATGGCCATATTTTAATATTCTTGTATATCTACAGAGGATCCTTTGTTAAGCATAGGAACTTGATAGAAAGTGTCCCCAACAACAGCAATGAGTATAACTAATAAGGTACTGTACTTTATGCTAAAACTGAAGTCAGATTGTATCAAGTTTCCCTACAATGAAGCTGAAGTACAACAAAAATATCCAATACCCGGCAAAATTCTAACTTGTCACATTTCACATATTAACCAGAAATATAGAACTACTCCTGAGTTGGGTAAATACTAATGCCCTGTCCAGACTCACGCGCGAAGCCGCGAACTACCCGCGACCCATGAGTGTGGATCCCATTCGCGTATTCTTCGCGGTTTCGCGTCGCGTTCGCGCGTTGTTTCCGTTTGGTGTCGGTGTTTTTGTCCCGCGACAAACGGTTCGCAAGGCGCGAACATGACTAGGCTCCACATTCGCTGGTGGCTCAGTTGCCTCAAAGCGAGTGCCAGTAGTGGTTATGTTTTCTCCACTTCTTTTCAATTGTTTTAGTTTTACTTATATATGCGTAATTATAAATTGCCAATACGCAAAGTAGCCCTGCAGCAGCAGTAGCAATTTCACCATCCATACTCGTCAAGAGCGCGAACTATACTGTGAAGCTGGCGCGAACATCTGCGAGTGTGGAACTGTAGGAACAAATTTCGCAGCGATTTCACGCCGTGATCCGCGCGTGAGTCTGGAGAGGGCATAAGGGTAAATACCACAATTTTACAGGGATAACTATGACATATAACCACTGATTCATGACCTCACGGACCTTATAACCAAACTGATAACCACACTCGGTTGAACGGATCGGTAAATACCAATCCAAAATGATAAATACCATTTTCATTTGGTTATTCGTTTGAATTTGATTATTTTATAGGTTTTTTTTACGTTTTATAGGTCTTTTACATAATACCCGTGCCGAGTAAATATAACATGACCACGCATGATAACTGCTGAAATAATACTCTACTAGGCTCTACCAGAGTAACAATTTACGAACGCAGCACTGTGTACGGTTTGATGTATATTCTCTGACTCAGTGAGTCGTTACTATAGGCAATACAATACTCTCATCAGCTTCGAGACCGGTCGGTAATCATATCGTTCAAATAAACGACTCAGTAAAGAGAGATGAACGAAATGAGAGAGCTCAGAGAAAAAAGTCGTATGTCTCAAGCCTATACCTAAATAACATAATTATAGAACACAAAGAATCTCAGAGAGAAGAAATGATCGAGGACGATAACTATTCATTCAAGTACAAAACACTGGGTTGACAGTGGCGCTGCAACCTACAACGGCTGTTAGGCAAGGCGCGCACTGAGGTAGTGTGGTAGTGGTGAGGTATTGGAGTGGTGAGAGGCATAGGGATGGTAAAATTTGGCGTGGCGATCGGAATAGCGGCGAAGTGGTATGAAAGTGATATAAAGCGCACTGAAGTGGCAAACAAGTCAGTTGATGTCACCGGTTTACCATGTCGTCCTCAGAAGATGAAGATGCCCTTTTATTTATGCAACTTGTTAATCTAAATGCTATAAGTCAGGAGACGAAGAAAAAACGGCATTGGGTTCATCCGCTGTGGCAAAAAAATAAAAAGTTTGGAATTTTTAATGTTTATAAAAAGGATTTGAACTTGGACGACCAAAAATTTAAACTTTTCTATCGAATGAAGAAAGAGACTTTTAGCAAGTTACTGACTAAACTACGGCCTATGCTTCAAAAAAAGGATACGAACTTCAGGAAATGTGTTTCTCCCGAAGAAAGCGTTCTAATAACACTGAGGTACGTACAATTGAAAAATATAAATACAGATATATTTACTATCCAAATACAAACTTATTGTACAACATTATTCTTAAAAAGCAAATTCATGATCTGGTAATAATGGGTTATTATACTGAATATTTGGTAATAATGTATCTTGTGCTTGTGTGGATGTCTGACGTACTGTTGAAAACGAAATATCTTCATATGTCCGCGAATCAGCTGTCTCACATTGAGGTCGAATAGAGCTGGTACATGCTGAAGAGGAACGGGTAGAAGGCTCAGAAGGTATACCTTCTGCAGCAAGCGATGAATAACTAGACGTTGGGGAGAAGAGAGGTGCAGAAATATGAGACACTACAGGCTCATCCAAGATTTCACCGGCAAGATTTAGGACTCCCACTTTATATTTTCTTTTCTGCTTGTCTGACATTTTTTTTAAATCGGGCAATAGACTCAACAAAAACTGCACATCGGCATCATCATTAGTGAAAGCAGGTGGTTTATACGGTGCTTGCTTCTTTTTTTCAAAAAATTCAAAGGCAGATTTGTTAACATCTGCCAAAGATATTGGATTCGGAGTAGTTTTATTTCTTTTAGGATTATTTACACTAGGTACTGACGAACTGGATACACTTCTCTTTTGTGTTTTTTGCTTTGGATCTCCAGAATCATTTTTTTCCAAACTGTCTGTCTGAGATACAATAATATTTGATACAGGCTCGTTAAATTCTTCAGGAATCCACTGTTCATCATCAATATCGTCATTTCTCCCTTGGTTGTTTTTGTAATTTCCAATTTTTGGACTTCCTAATTGTTGAGTTTCAAGCTCTTCGGTCTCTAGGTCCTCCGTAATTGATTCTTCATGAATTATATCGGCCGTTTCAATATTCTTTGGTGCGTCAACATTTCCTTTCGGTTGGCGGGACTTAGTGAACGGTAAAACAAAACATATGTACTCCGAGAGATAGTATGGGCGTTTTACCGATGCTCCAGATCCAGATGGCATGTATGTCTTTAAATGTTTCGTGTAACTTCCACGTAAATTCTTCCACCTTTTTTGCAATCTGCGATGGTAGCTACAATAAAAACACATCATTAAGATATACAAATGAAGCGTGCTGAGCATAATGTGTGTGTAAAGTTTACTTTATTGCTTGCTATTTTTATAATTATTAATAATATTGTTATTAATATTCACTTTTTTACGCTTTCGAACACTATTAAAAAAGTGAAATAACGCCAATTGATATGTAATTTTTTATATTTTTAAAACCAAAATGCCGTGATGTGGGGAAAACCACCACTTCCACCACTTTGTTTGTTAAGTACCTACTTAATTATTGTTTTTCTTTCCAGGTATATAATAATTGCAAGAACTTCAGTAGTAATTTGGAAAGTTCTACAACCAACTTATCTTCCTAATCCTACCAAAGAAACATGGGTACAATCAGCTCGAAGATACTGGGAGTTATGGAATTTACCAAATTGTGTGGGGAGTATAGACGGTAAACACATCAGGATCAAACGTCCACCAAAATCAGGTTCCGAATTTATTAATTACAAAGGGTATTTTTCCATTGTTTTGATGGCTGTATCAGACGCAGATGGCTGTTTCTTGACCATTGATGTTGGTGAGTACGGCCGAAATAGTGACGGGAGGGCATTAAAAGAAAGTAATTTTGGAAAGAAATTAGTTAACAGCACGTTAGACTTGCCAGACCCATCTCCATTACCAGGACAAGACACAAATTTTCCATTTTATTTTGCTGCAGACGAAGCTTTTCCATTGATGTGTACTATAATGAAACCCTACCCTAAAAGAGGCTTAACAAATAGAAAAAGGGTATTCAATGGTAGGTTATCAAGAGGTCGCAAATCAGTTGAATGCTCATTTGGAATGATGTCATCAGAATTTTACACACAACAATTGGTCTTAATATAAATACAGTGGACAATATTGTTAAAGCAGTGTGCTTACTGCATAATTTTATTAAAAAAGAGGAAGGTATATTTTCGCGCCCGCGAGGAAAGAAAGGAAATGATGATGACATAGAAGTAGAAAATGAGGAACAGCCTTATCCGAGACTCTCAAATCAAAGAAGAGCTACCAATCCAGCAATTGCTACACGGGAGAAACTTTGTGATTTTTTTTTAACAGTGGACGGGTCACTTAAAGGTCAAAAACGATTTTGTGTATGAAAACAAGAAGATAACAATATTAACAGAATAAAAAGATAACTAAATAATGCCTTTAAATAAAAAAATATATTTTTCAAGGAACCACATTTTTTTATTACTTACCTCCTTCCCCAATGTCTTTTGCAATTTTCGCCCAAGCCCGTTCTTGCACATGGATCATATGATAATCCTCCCGTGTATTGTCATACAGACAGGGATATGCCTCTACAAGGGCTACGAAATTAATGTTCAATTCGTGGGCGTCTCGCATGATTCACTCCAGGAAAAAGTAAACAAAAACCCACGTCGCGTCGTCGTCACCAACCGCTTGCCAGTCGAAAATTAAACTTGCTCGAGATTAGTGGCACCAGACTGACATCACGCCACCTACAAAATGCCACGCCACCGCTACTCCATTTTGATACGCGCGTCTTCATTTGTTTATATAGGCTTTAGCGATTCCACCTGCCACTTGATCACCGCGCCACTACCACGTCACTTGCTTACCATCTCAGTGCGCGCCTTGCCTTAGCCTGCAGCACGCTGCAGTAGTGCTGCGAGTCAATGTTGCCAGGCCTAGTGAAATTTCACTAGATCTAGTGATTTTTGAACAAATTTTGTGATTTAGCGAAAACTTTTGTTAAAGTCAAATTTATAGTGATTTTTTGAAAGGTTTGTGGCAAAAACAAAATTGAAAAATATTGGGTTGTCGGAAAAGTCATGACGTATATGCAACAAAGTATGCAATTGCATGGTTGGAAGTACGTGAGTCAATGACATTTGTATGTTGATTGTGTAGTTTGACAGTTGACACTTCAAGCTTCATTTGCACCAAAAAATTAAGTGATTTATTTGAGTCTCGTCGATTTTAGAGGACGTTGAAGATGGACGACCAAACTGTGCATTTTCGTCACATTTTGCTGTATTACTTCCGCAAAGGCAAGAACGCAAGACAAGCGTGTGAAAAGTTGAGAAAGGTTTATGGAGAACATGCACTACAAGAACGGCAATGCCAGAGATGGTTTAAAAAATTCCGAGATGGGGATTTTGATATCCATGACGCACCTCGATCAGGGCGGCCTACTGAGTTGGATAGTGACGAATTAAAGGCATTGGTAGGAGCAAACCCACATTACACCACACGGGAAATTGCAGAAACCTTAAAAATCCATCATTCAACCGTTCACGACCATTTGAAGAAACTGGGATACGTAAGCAAACTCGATCGTTGGTTACCACACGAACTGAGAGAGGTTCATTTGACGGCGCGTGTAGACATCTGCGATATGCTCCTTAAACGTGAGGAAAACGATCCTTTCTTAAAGCGCTTGATAACGGGAGATGAAAAGTGAATTGTTTACAACAATGTGGTTCGCAAACGGTCTTGGTCCCGAAGTGTAGATACGCGTAACACGATCGCGAAAGCAGAGAGTCATCAGGAAAAGGTGATGCTCTCTGTTTGGTGGGATTTTAAAGGGATCGTGTTTTTCGAACTCCTGCCAAAGAACCAAACCATCGATACAACTGTGTATTGTCGGCAATTGGACAGTTTGCAACAATCCATCATGCAAAAACGCCCGGAGCTCATTAATCGCAAAGGAGTTGTGTTCCACCATGACAACGCGAGACCGCACACAAGTTTGCTCACTCGTCAAAAGTTATTGGAGTTAGGATGGGATGTGTTACCACATCCAGCATATTCGCCTGATCTTGCCCCATCTGATTTTCATTTGTTTCGGTCGCTTCAAAATTCCTTGCGAGAAATACGCTTTACTTCAGATGAAGCTGTACATCAGCACCTTGTTCAATTTTTTGCCGGGAAAGACAAATCCTTCTAGGAGCGAGGAATTATGAAGCTGCCTGAAAGATGGCGAAAGGTCATCGATCAAACTGGGCAATACATTATTGATTGAAGTTTGTGCTGTATATGAATAAAATGGCCTTAAAATAAACAAAAAAAAACGTCATGACTTTTCCGACAACCCGATACAATGAAAAAATATAGGAATGCAACCAAAAGTTGGTATGAAGCGTATACAATTAAACGCGGTTTTAAAAGATTTTCGGAATTTGAAACATTTTTTAACATCAATCCCGACAAATTATTGTATTCATCACAGACCAGTTGGCTGTCACTAATTTCAGCTGTAAGTAGAATAATTGAGTAATATGATGCTCTAGAGTTAGAGAATTATGTTACTGTTTTTTTGTACCTTAATGTACAACTAACAACGACGGCAGATCGATCCATTGTACGGTTTCTCCGGATTGATTGCTTAAGGTTTGAAAATGATGCAAATTCATTGCCGGATCCTATTCATTTCGGCTGAATATTTTCTAGATCCGCCGCTGGTTAATATTTTTGTTTTTTTTTTGGAATATTCTATGGATACACAACATTTTTCTAATTGCTCTTTGCAAAATTGAAGGTATTACAGATATCCAATAGTGACAACAGAAGATGAAAAATGATTTTTCCATGTTCAACCAGATTACAAGATGTTTTGATACAAAAATTTTGCTCGTTTGATTCTTCGACCAATATTTTTCGGCTAAAACAAAAAGTCAAAAGTTACTGATTTTTTTTCTTGCTTCCTTAATTTTTTTGAGTAGTGTACGTTCTTAGTGTTTCCAGTTTTTTGTGAACTAGGAGTGCTCCAACCATGAACGGACAGTAAGGGCTATTTTAGAAGGCTTAGACATAAATAATACATAAACGATCGTATATTATGTTATAGAACACATTTTGGAAGTAAAATCTGAATCAATATATTAATTTTCACTATCCCAAGACTGTCACAAAGGTAACTGACAGCAAATTGAATTCATTCTTTTCCTTAGCAACAAATAACTAAACAGGTATGACAATAAAAACAGTTCGCCCCGGATATCTGCGTTGAGAAGAATCCGGAAAAAAATCAGGTTGTTGGTAGTAGTCCGGGAGCCAGCGACCGTTTTGGATGACCTAAACCACAAAAGCTGAAAACTTGTCCTATTTGGTATCACTATTAAACGAATGGTCCTCCAGCTCGCACACTTTCGGGGGGTGTAGCTGCGGCAGCCTCCCACGTATGTAAAATAATAATAACAAAAAACTAATACCGCAAAAGCTGAAACTTTGTTAACATTTACATTATGTTATAAAATAAAGAAAAAAAGTATCCATCCGAATGTAGCGTGGAGGATTATGCCCCAGCTTTTCACGTAAAGAAGTGAAAAATGCGCACTGAGTAAACTGATAACGCAAAAGCTGAAATTTGGGAAATTTATAGTTAAGTTAATAACATAAACGAAAAAACATCCAGCTTCATATTTAGTGGGGGAAAAGTGTCCAGCCGATGTAGTCAAAGACGCTGCGCATCGGCATGCTGGATATTTTTTCTATTAACATATTTACTTAACTATTATATTACCGAATTTCAGTTCTCGTGGTATAAGATATGTATACTTTTCTCATTAAACACAGCGCGCCTTGTAGTTATTATACTGTCTCACAAGTTGTTGAATTTAAAGGCTATTAGTAAATATTTATACATTTGAATATACATAATAAACCGTACAATACATAACATAAACAGGAAATATGTAGACATCAAAATAAGAAAAGTAAAAAAATTAATTTTAATTATTTGAACTTTTCACTAATAATTATTATTTGAACGTTTTACTATTAATTATTTGAACTTTTTTTATTATTTATTTACAAAACTATATACTAAAAATAAAAATAAAGAAACATATTATGCTATTACGCACAAAATAACAAAATTATATAAGAATTTATTAGAATTCGCCATCTTCCGATTTATTTCCATCGAACTCGTTGAGACAGAGCTGATCCGTCGATGTTATTATTCGGTAAACGGAATATGTCGCCGTTTCGCAAAATATTGTATGTCTTCAAAAATGTTGCTACGCCTGCTTCATTAACTTTATTTATTTTTTTGTATCCATACATACGACATACATATTCTTATAGGATATCAAATGTACTCTGCAACTCGTCGTCAGGTGGGTTGCTCAGTTTGATAGAAGCGTCGTGACTTTGAAGTTGAGTCATTAATTTTCAGATAATGATTGTAGAAGGAAGATAAACCAAAATATGTGTGTAAAAATAAAAATAAAAATTAAAAAAAATGTTACCTGTTACCAGCTTTCTATCTAGTGGGGGGAAAGTGTCCAGCGGATGCATTCAAAGATACGATGCGCAGCATCTTTGAGTGCATCGGCTGGACACTTTTTCCCCACTAAATATGAAGCTGGATGTTTTTTCGTTTAAGTCATTAACTTAACTATAAATTTACCAAATTTTAGCTTTTGCGGTATCAGTTTACTCAGTGCGCATGTTTAATAATAATAATAATAATAATAATAATAATAATAATAATAATAAATGGTCTTTATTCATCATTATAAATAACTTGAGGATAAACAAAAATTAAAGATAAAATGCTGAAAGGCGTAGTTCAGCCTAAGCTGCTTTTCAACTAAACCCACAAAAAAAACACTCATACAATATATATATATATACGTATATATATATATATATAAAAGATAATATGCAATACAAAACAGAACATACGAGAGCATGGCCAATGCAGTTTTTATGAGAGCACAATTCATGCAAAACGAGGCGACTTAAAAAGAAACATACTGGGACATTATCCTTTAAAACGTAGCGAGGTTTGCTTATACTTTACGCCCTTGGTCGTGCAGGAGATCAGCTTTCAATCTTTTTTTAAAATTGCGGAGACTCAGATTCTTGAGATCTACTGCCAAGCTGTTATACAGTTTCGCAGCATTGTATGAAAAGCTGCGCTTAAACAGAGCTGTTGAATGTTTAGGAATAACTAAAAGATGTTTATTGCGAGTTACTTTATTATCAGGCAGTCTGGTGAGTTTATTGTATAGATAAGTAGGTGTTCCACTAGTAACGATCTTGTGTACTGAAGGCTCTCACTGATGTGGTCATACTTTCGGATACCATATGCAAACCTGATGCAAGAATTTTGAATTCGCTGAATGCGTAGAATATCTGTTTGCAGAAGGGCAGGTCACTCCTTTACGTGAAAAGCTGGGGCATAATCCCCCACCCTACATTCGGCTGGATATGTTTTTTCTTTATTTTAAAACATAATGTAAATGTTAGCAAAGTTTCAGCTTTTGCGGTATTAGTTTTTTAATTATTATTTTACATGTGTGGGAGGCTGCCGCAGCTACACCCGCCGGAAGTGCGCGAACTGGAGGTCCATTCACTTACTAGTGATATAAAATAAGGCTTGGAAAAAAAATTCAGCCTTGGTGAAATGGCCACCCTCAAAAGGCCGCTGGGTCCCGGACTATAGTCCCGTTTTAAATTATAGAGGTGAAGTAGTTAGTTTTTG